TATACATGATCGTTTTTATTTTTTATTTTTTAGAAGAAATAATACACTAATTGTTTCTGTGATGTGACAGAAACTATCACTCAAAACGACGAATTTGTGCCGAGAGAGGACCTGAGATTTGAACTGCAAAACACTATGAATCTTCAAGAGTTTTCATGGAGACAGAAGTCAAGAGAATTGTGTCACCAAAAAGGTGAAAGAAATACTAGTTACTTTCACAGGATGGCCAATTATAGAAGAAAAGTGAATTTAAACAATCGTATTCAGATCGATGGTCAGTTTGTTGAAGGGAGGCAAGCTTTGGGCGAAGGCATTGCAAATAAATATAAGCTTCTCTTCCAGGAATCCATAAATGAACGGCCTTTTCCTTTGGGGTATGCGAACAGAGTCTTAGATGAGGAGGACTGCATGTTGATTGCGTCGAGCGCGAGACTTTATACCTGTATTTCAACAACTTAACCACAAATAATCTCAATTATATTGATTTACCCAATTGAACTTAAATGACTAACTTAAGATTAATTGAACTTAATGTGACAGCTAGCTAATCCCTTGGTCTAAGCTGTACTCACTAGTCAACCACCTTAGTGTAATCCCTCGTTTAAAGCTACACTTAAACTTAATAAAATCAAAGCCTACTCAATTAAGCCTAGCGATGTTAGCTGATCCGGTTTCTAAGCCCAACTACTCAATATATGTAAAACCTCGCTTTTCACTCGGTTGGGCTTCTAAGCCCAGTAGCTTTCGGTTAGGCAGATGAAGTAAGCGAATCCTAAAGAGAGTACCAGCCCAAGCGAATTCTTGTCCTAACCCCACTTCTAAGCGATGAGCATAAAACGACAGAGTATCAGCTAAACTAAGATTCCCTTTCCCGCTTCTAGGATTTCGATCAAAACAAATCCTCCTTCTGTTCGTGAGATGAACAGGGGAAGAACAGCAAGAACACTTCAATAAAAAACCCAGGCAGTAATCACTCAGATAAACCAAACCCTGGTTCAGTGAGTTCCCAAATCCTGTCCAGGTACGCAGCCCTTACTGGAGACTCGTGAGCCGACTCCCTTGCAAAATTAAACCTAGAACAGAAAACAAACAGAAGGACACAGACTGGAAACTGAAAACAGAAAACAAACACAGCTCACGATTTTTACGTGGTTTCCAGTATTGGGAGAATGAGGATCCCAATACTGACTACTCCACGGTCAGAGAATCACGATTGTGTGATCTCCGACGAATCACTATGATTTTGCGTTGAAATTCGTCGTTACAAGCTATCTACCGAAGAGCCCTTTGATCAATCTCAACCCGATTGATCAAATACTCTCTTCTCAAACCCGAATTGCTTCCCAAGCAACTCGAAACCAGTGTTTCCCCAACACTAACCCTCAAAGCAATTCTCCCCGAACCCTTTGGGAAAACCCCTTTCCTATCAATCTAGCTCTTTTGATCACTTGAAAGGTTGCCTTTCCTCTTGCTTTAGATCGCCTTTTATAGGCTGCTATGTAGCCGTTGTTCCTCAATATTCTTGCTGATTTGAAAACTCCACAAAAGGTAGGCTTTTGATCTTTCTCCTTTTGTCCTGAATACCTTCCTTAACTGCTTTGGGCTGCCAATACATTTCCAGCTGTGATTCTTTGACATTTGAATCTTGACTTGGCCTCCAAGTTGTATGAGATTCAGCCATTGTCAAGTTGATGCTAACACTGCATATCTTTATCTGGGAAGTTTACTGAGAAAGAAATTTGGGAAGCCATTAGTGCGTGTGACGTTTCAAAGCACCCGGACCAGATGGTTTCACCATAGACTTTTACAAGAGGTGCTGGTCACTTTGCAGAAAAGAGATCCTATTTGCTTTTGAGGAATTCCATGCTAATGGTTATTTGCCGGACAGCGTTACTCATGCTTTCATTTGCCTTACCCCGAAGACTGATGTGGTTGAAAGTGTCAAAGATCTCCGCCCGATCTGCCTCGTGAGCAGTTTTCACAAAATTGTTAGCAAAGTGCTTATAAAAAGAATGAGTGTTGTCCTGCCCAAGCTGATTTCTCGTAACCAACACGCTTCTGTTATTGGTAGGCACATATCAGAAGCTGCGTTGATCGCAAATGAACTTATCGACAACAGAAAGAAATGCAGAAAACCGGGTCTTATTTTCAAGCTTGACATCGAAAAGGCCTTCGATAATGTTAGTTGGGGCTGCCTATTCAATATTATGAATTGTGTTGTTTTTCCGGCTAAATGGCACTAGTGGATTAAGGGTGATATGTGTTCTCCAATGACTTCTATCTTAGTTAATATAGAACCGTTTGGTTATTTCCGCTCGAGCAAGGGCGTTCTCCAGGGCGATCCTCTTTCCCCTGGTCTTTTCGTTCTCGTCATGGATGTCCTTTCATTTCTCATTTCGAAGCTTCGTGAGGAAGATGGTATCTCGGGGTTTTTCATGGACGAGATTAGGGGAGTTGACGAAGTTACGCATCTCCTTTTTGCGGATGACTCCCTCATCTTTTGCGTTGCTTTAGTGAATCAGGTTATTAATTTACTAGCGCTCCTGGTATGCTTCCAATCTATCACAGGGTTGAAAATCAATTTGGATAAGTCTATTATGTTTACCGTTGGGGACATCCCAGAACCTGACTACTTTGCTACAATTTTTGGATGTAATTGGAGTAATGATCCCTCGAAGTATCTTGGGCTGCCTTTGGGGGACCGTCCAAATGCTGTGTCTATTTGGAATCCTATGGTGGATAAATATCAGGGTCGGCTTCAAGGTTGGCAGAACAGACATCTTTCTTTTTGGGGCTAGATTGACCCTCAATACTTCTACTCTTAATAGTCTCTCGGTGTACCACTTCTCTCTTCTTAAAGCACCAAAGATAGTTATTAACAGTTTGGAGAAGATCCAACGTCGATTCTTGTGGAGTGGAGCTGGCAGCAATGATAAGATGCATTTAGTTAGCTGGGACGTTTGTAAAGCTCCAAAAAGTAGAGGAGGATTAGGGGTTGTTGATTTTCTAAGTTTCAATAACGCCCTCCTCGGTAAGTGGTTGTGGAAATATGCTACGGAAAGAGATAGCTGGTGGAGAAATCTTATCGCAATCAAATACCATCACTCTATTTCTGAATGGAGACCGAGAAGGCTCGAAGAAGGCTTTAATAGCTCTGTTTGGGCTAATATTTGCAAGGTGGAAGACATATTATGGAAAGGGGCTTGTATCGATCCAAGTTCGGGCATTGGTATTTCGCTGTGGCGCGATACTTGGATCCCAGGAGAACTGCTAGCAACCTCATTTCTGCGGGCTGCTGCTGCTTCCATTCCTAATGCTAGTCTTGCTGATGTCGTCTCTTGGTCAGGTGAGAACTTCTTGTGGGAAATTCCTTTTTCTATTATTCTCCGGGGTGGGGCTGAGAGAGAGAGAGATATAATCTGTTAGAAAAGGTTAATGTGAATTCTTATAGACTATCGATTGGTCCTGGCCGTGTAGTCTGGAACCTTTGCTCTGATAAGAAATTTTCTGTGAGCTCTATGTATAAGTTGCAGGTTGATGATCGGTTTCATGGTGTCGAAGACTTCCCTTCTCAGGTTGTGTGGAGAAACATTATTCCGACAAAGATTTGTGGTTTTCTTTGGCTTGTATGGCACAAGAAGATCCTTACCATCGACAACCTGGAGAAAAGATGAATTCATTTGGCAAACCGATGTGATCTCTACCTCAAGGAAGAGGAAACCAGCAATCATATATTCACAAGTTGTTCGTTTGCAAAGAGCGTGATGTGGGAGCTGTTGACAGTCTTTCCTAGGATTGGTTTCTCTTCTGATGATATAACGCAAGTTATTAACCAGATTGAGACCCGCGATCCTGTTGGTGTTGATGGTTGGTTCAGTTATTGTCTCCTCTATGCTTTCTACTAGTTTGTGTGGAAAGAGAGAAATCAGAGAATTTTTCAGCAGGTTGCTTGCTCGCATTTGGTGGTTACTAAGAAAATCCTTTGCGCGATCATTGAGTGGACGATTGCGCATGGTAGGATAAGCAAAGAACAGGGGCATCTCCTCTTCCATCATTGGCGAAGAGTCTGATTTCTTGGCTACCCTTGTTAAGCTTTGCAGTTCCCTTGTGCTGAGTTACCCTCTTGTTTTCTTACACTTTATATCTAGTCCTCCCTTTTTGTACTGTTTTTGTTCCCCTTTGGCGGTGTTGACCAGGGGTTCTTTTTTTTTACTGTTTCTGCTTCCTTCTTCCATTCATCGTGGGAGCTGTTCTGTACACTTGTTTTATTAATCTAAGTTCATCATCATTATAAAAAAAAAACGAGTGATTGTTATATCTCAGCTTTTAGTCATGATTGTTGAGATTGTTTTGTCTAAGCTTTTAGCTGATGTGACATACACAATCACACATACCAAACGTTGTTTTTTACAATGCATCAATTTCAACAATACATGTTTAATATTATACATGCATTCACAAACAATACATCTATTTAACAATCGCAACTTCCAAATGACCCGTATGTTCAATGAATTTTGATATTAATACTGTGTTTTGCAAGAGAACGATATAAGATCGATAATCAATCTTCTTTCTATCACTTTCTTACACGTCCTTCCAAACAAAATTCAATTCATGTGTTTGAAATTCGCACATAGCATCATAACTGTGTTTAATCACTTATTATAATATCGTGGGTCGTGCAGATGAAAACACATAATCATTTGGCCAAACCAAATATAACATACCATGTCAAGAACCAATCGCGATGAAAAAAATTAATTATTAATCCTATATCCCTCTCTAACAAACCTCAATCCTTTATTTTTGAAACCCAAACCTTATGATACTCCACCACGATGCTGATTCGTCGAAATATAGCTGCTGAGTTGGTCGTGGAGATTCGAACACATGACCTTTCGGTTCTAGGCTATGATACCATGTCATAAACCAGTTGGTCCCAATAACTCAAGTTGTTGAAAGAAGGTTATGTTGGATCTTATACCACTCTCTAACACCCAGAAGAAGGCGAAAAGCTCGTCAGCTTCATCACATACCAATCCTATGTGCGTGCTTCTTGGAGCTCTGTTCCCAAGCTGGCAGGTCGAACAATCGGCTTTTACTTTGCCCCCTCTCTCTCTCTATATGGATCTGTAAAATTTAGTAACAATATGTGAATATGTACATATGTATAGGGCTGGAAAGGTGCGGGAAGAGCTGCAGGCTGAGGTGGATGAACTACCTGCGGCCAGACCTGAAGAGGGAATGTTTCAGCGTGGAAGAAGAGAGGATGATCCTCCATCTCCACAGGATGCTAGGCAATAGATGGGCTCAGATCACCATACATCTGCCCAGTCGCACCGACAACGAGATCAAGAACTTCTGGAACTCGTCCGTCAACCTCCTCCTCGCTCCACAAGCCGGCCATATTAATTACTCATATCTCAGCAACCACTCATTCCCTGCAACAACCTCAGCTTCTTCTTCACTATGAATCGTCACCTTTACTATTCAGCGTAGCTCCTGATAAGGGCTTGAAGTTTGCACAGGTCTGAAGACAATAATACCATGTGCTTAACAAATGGGGGTCACCGGGAATCGAACAGAAGACCTCACGGTCACAGAAGACTCTAATACCATGTCAAGAACTAGTTGATCCCAATAACTCGAGTTGTTGGAAGAGGTTTAATCGTTGATCATATACCACAACACTAACAATATCAACGTCTACGTTAATGGTTCCACCCGCGGGATCAGTAGTAATGTTCTTGTTCGTGATCAGGGCGATATTAATATTGTTATTGGCAACTGTTCGAATATATCTTGCCTCCACCCGCAAAAGAGACCATCAACGGAGGACTGCTGGAGGAGTACTGCATTTACAGTACTAGTGAGTTTTATATTCATTCAACAGACCAGCTCGGACAGATGGTCGTTGGATTTCGATGATTCCTTCCTGGCGTCTCTGTGATTGGCATAATTAATCCCCACAACCGTAGGCTTCTCCGGTTTGCCCGATTATTGTTTGCATGGTGCGCAGAGTAGGCTGAGCACCACAATTCCACAGCTCGTAAGTTACGTTGGTCGACGATCGAGTAGAATACAATTGTACGTATAACGTATTCAAAGAAATTTGCTTGTTTGCCGTAGGTTTGTTCGTCTTTTTGATATTCTGGGATGATTTACTTTTTCTTAATTAGTGCTGCCGTGTGGGGTAATTAAGGGATGTCCATGAAATTATTGCGTTTGGGGTTGCAAAATGATCATGATGGTGACCACTGACCACGGGCTAAATGCAACCATTATTACGTTTGTTTGTCGCATGATGCCTAACTTTTTCTTAATCAGTTCTTTTTTCTAGCACTACTAAACGTGTTTTTGTATTTAATTTGTTAAATTACTCACGTAATTTTTTTAAATTTCCATGCATTCATACTTATTTTTTGAAATTTTACCTCCCGAAACTTGATTGTGAAGTCAACGACGAATGCATCAGCAACCCCTAAACATTTAGTGTCCCTAGATGCAGCCCGATTCGAACCAACTATTTACTCTACCAAATTAGGACTCACAAGAATATAGATGAGAAATATTAATTTGGTAAATCCAAAAGTGATATAAGAAAATTAAAGTAAACTACTATGACGTGGGTCGATGTGAAAGCTGATGTGTACTTAAGACGTTGTTAATTGTAATAGATCAGTATAATTTATAATATAATTAAAGGGTTTTCTATTAAATTTTCGTTTTAATAAATTTAAATACTTTCTTACAAAATAAACGATTTTCTATTAGTTTATATTAGCTGAAAAATTAAACACAATCATTTCTTTGATTATTAATTAATTTTATTTATCCAAAAATAATTCTAGTCTAGTCTCTATCTTTAGTTCATACCAATGGGCAGCCCATTGAGACCATACTGAGGTCCGCTATCTTTTAGGCTTCAGATCAAGAAGGATGTCCAGCTAACACTCATGCACCTAGCGACATAAGCCTTATATTGGCCCACTAAGCTACGATTTATCTGTTACAAACTCACAATATGCAGTGTGAAGAGTTCGGAAGATCTCATCTTATTATTTTGCATACTTTTTTATTAAAATGTAATGAACTATATTTTATTTATTTTAAGGGTTAATAACATTTTTTACACCTCTACTATGATAAGTTAACAAACGTATCTCTCTACTAAATTTTTGCACGAACATACCCTTTTAGTAGTAAAACGTAACAATTTTACCCCTCCATCTAATTTTCTGTTAAGTGATCGTTAAATGGATTCTGAAATAACCCAATTGCCCTTCATTTAATCATAAAACACACCTAATATATATTTTGTATATTTTATTTCTCTAGCCCAAGTGATTATTTTATTAATTTCTCTAACCCAAGTGTTTATTTGTTAAATTTTCATAGTCCATAGAAGTTCTCCGCCTCTGCAAAGCCCCCGAACCCTGAACAAGGAACTCCTGCGTGAATCAACTCCGGCACCGATCGCTCGACGGCGGCTAGAGCAAGCTTCTAGAGAGCAGGAAGGCGTCTGGAGCGACTCTTCCCCTCCTTCGGCGACACAAAATTTGCAGGCTCTTCTCCCTTCGTCAGTTCCTCCAGCGAACGGATAGCAATTGCGCTCCGACCTCTTCCCCTCCATCGACGCAACATCCCGGCCTCCATCTTCTCCCTTCATAAGTTATATCGACTGTCTAGTCATTCGATAAAGAATTCCCCCCAAACGAAAATCCCATCTTCCTATTTGCCTCAATGAGGAAGTTGCAAATGCCGAATCATGTTATTGTTTTTTGTTGGTTGTAATTGTCTTTTCTGTGTGGTTGCAGCTAGTACTTGAGTTGGATGGAATGTATATTGATGGTAGGTATTGGAATCTCATAATCAAAGAGAGTTTGTTTCTTAAATTTCCTGTTGTTCTATGGATGTGGCTGTGGATTGGAATACGACTCAAATGTCTAGAATAGGTTGAGATAAAGAGAATAATTTGTTGTTGGTGTAGATTACTAGAATGAAATCAATTAGAACCAAATCAATTAGCGTGAGATAAAGAGAACAATGGTTGTTGCTGCTCATCATCTTCGTATGCAGATCCTTTTTTACAGTAAGATCAGACCACTTGTTTGCTGCTACTCAAGAAAGACCAGATCACTTTGTTTGCTGCTACAGATTTCTTTTTGTCAATTAGTTGCCCTCGTAATGGCTTCTTGGGTTAAAACTAGCCACACTTGGAACTTGTTCAGTTACCCGGTCCACTGCTTCACCATTCTAGTTACTGAATTCATCAGCTAACGCAAGCAAAGGTGTTGTTGCTGCTACTGGTATGTTCATATCTAGAAAACCAAGTTACTTTATGCTGTCAACTACTACATTCAAAATTAAACTAAGAAACCAGTCGGTTGATGCATAATACCAAACTGCAGTTCCAAAGTTACTTTCTGCTGTCAACTAGTACATTCAAAACTAAACTCAGAAACCAGCCGGTTTATGCATAATACCGAACTGCAGTTCTGTAGTTACTTTTTGCTGTCAACTACCACATTCAAAACTAAACTATTAAACTGTAGTCGTGCTCTCTTGGGTGTCACCATGTCCACTTCCTCCTTCTTTGTCAAGCCTTGCACCAACTCCAGCTTGTTTGTTTGTTTGTGGTCGAGGGACTTGAATGACCCTTCTACTTTTCAAGCTTGGCTATAGAACAACAGTGACAACAAATCATTTAACTATTGATTGACTTAAAAGGCCCGAATTGCAGAGTTAGAGGCAAATTTTATAGGACTTACATCCATGACTATGAAATCACTTGGATTGTGGTGCAAACCCACCCCTACATAGGGTTTGCTCTTCTTCTTTGGCGGTCTCCTCTCCTGACGGCTACTGGTCCCAACACTTTCAGTTTGGTCTTGTATCTGACTTGAGTGACCAACTCCGAAAGATTTTATTAGACAAGTATGGAAATGAAAGATAATTAAAACTGATAAGCTGAAAATTAAGTGTGTACCTCAAATGGATTCTTAACTTTACAACTTCTTGAGTTGTGTCCCTCTTGCTTGCACCTTTTGCAGGTAATAACCCTCCCGATCCTCCGCAGTTTGGAAGGATCGTTCTTGTTGGATGCCATCAACTCTTTAGAATTGTAGACTTTTTTTGCTTATGCCTTTGTCGATCTTCTTTCTCTTCAACACTCCTCGCTCTCTTCTTCTTTGGTCTCCCAAGCATGATTCTAAAACATAGAGGGAGTATTGCTTCATATTCGCTTCGGATTCATGACTTTGGACCATCCATTGGTTGCAAGGTATACTGATAAGTATTTCGAAGCTTTGGACGGAGAAACAATCAGAAATATACATGATAAGGTCTCTATCTTCATAGACCAAACAAGCAATGGCATGAGGGCAATGGATCCCAGAAAATTCCCATACTCTGCATGAGCACACATGTCCAAAAAGCTGCATAGTGAATCTTTCATCTAGATGCCTCACTTCATAACCATGTTGCCCATTTGACAGTATGTGGAAAAAGTCGCTTTTTGAAGCATTCTTATTGAACTTCTGAATTATCTTTGGGCAATATAAGTCATTCCACTTATTTCCCAATTCCATCTTCGTTGCAACCATCTCTAAAACCATAACACGAAGATCATCTAACATGATGAAGATGGCCTTGAATCTAGCTTCTAAGATGGAGGCATTGAACGACTCAGACATGTTGTTGTCAACTGCATCACATTTTACCTCTTTTGAGAAATAGGATCCACACTAGTGTTTTGGATCGATTGACAGCAATGCAGTTGCAACATCTTTGTTTCCAGCAGCTAATCTTTGCCATGCTCTGTCAAAGAAAATTGGAGTCCTCGCCTTGGCACATGCCCAAAACATCTTCTACAAATCTCGATTCCTGAACTTCTTCCTCCAATTGTTGTATATATGTCGTGCACATAGCCTGCGTTCAGCATATGGGAAGCATTCGGCTATTGCTAGAATAAGCCCCTAAATCATAAATTTCATCATTAGAATCATAAATTGGATTCTTGAAGTTATAATAACTAAGCTAAAAGTGGTATTAAACAGATAGAGTATCAAAGCAAGTCATTCCATGTCAAGACAAATAGATTTCTAAAGTGACTAGACATTAGCTTTTATGGCAGCAAAGTTCTAATGTTAAGCTACGAATTGATCAGCTTTCCCCTAAGCTATGAGCAGAAGGGTATGTACTTTGAATGGTTATTGAAACCAAACAAGCAGTAGCTTTTCTTAGGTAGTGAATTCATAACAAAAAGAAATTATTAAATGCATACCAAAAAATAGATTTTCTTAAAGGAACTTCTCGACTCAACTTCAATCACTGGCCATGCAATATGATACATTTGGTCATTTGTGTCCCTCCCAACAGCAAAAAGTAATTCTCCTTTGTATAAACTGTAGACACCACTTTTTGTCCGGGTTAAAACCTATTTAACTAATTAAAATTTAACTTTTTGTTTGG